CCCCGTGCTCTTGGTATACCCCGTGCTCTTGGTATACCCCGTGCTCTTGGTATACCCCGTGCTCTTGGCTCTTGGTATACCCCGTGCATTCTTACTGAAGCCAAGTATGGCAATGCTGCAGCATTAAGCTGAGATTGGGGGGGTGAGCAGGAAGCATCACTGCAAGGCCTCCCTTTGTGCACCGTGGCAGACCTTTGTGCCTGCACGTCCCTCACCTCGTGAGGAAGGCTCGTCGTGAGTTACGGCTGACCCAGGTGACCCCGAGCGGGAGAAGGGGGCCATGTCCGGCAGCCGTGGCCCTGCGACGAGACTCTGACGCAGCCTGGAATGCGAGCGTACGCTCGCAGGCGCACGCACCTTCCCAAATGACTCAGAGGCATCTGGCTTTCTGAGAAAACGCACAGTTTTCTGCAACACCTTCTTTTGTTTCACTCACATTACTGAAACGTGATTATATCCTTTCCTGTAATTTCCTGTCATTCTTAAATATATTTAACCATCCCTCCATCTTCAAATTGCTTATCCAGGACTGGCTGGTGGGGGGAGGGGATGGGGGGGGGGTACCTGGAGCCTATCCCAGGCAGCACAGGACCCAAGGCATGAGCACACCACGGATGGGATGCCAGTTCATTGCGGGACACGTACACATTCTCACACTGTGAGCAATTTAGAGGCGTAAATGAGCCTAACTGCACATCCTAGGACTGTGGGAGGTAATTCCATAGAAGGGGAGAACATGCGGACTGCACACCGGTGGTGTCGGGTTCAAAGCCGCGCAGCCTGGAGGTGTGAGGTGACAGTCCCCCCCCGCCCAGCCATTGGCGCTCAGTAGAAATGGGCGACTCAGACTGTGATCTTAATACTGTTTACTGCTTCCTTGGTTTGACGGGACAGCAGGGGTTAGAGGTCAGCGTTTGGTCTCTCTGGCACAGGAGCGCTGTGTTTTCAGTGCGCTCGGCCCTTAGCAGAGAAGTGTGTTGCAAAATCGACACACTGGAGCACATAGTTTTGGTGACGTTTGAATTTGCCCAGCCTTGGCTGCGGCCTTGTGCTGCATTTTTGTACGCTTACATTTCACTCCTCTTGTTTTAAAGCTGATGTGGAGGTCAGCAGAAGTAAACACATTTGTTAAAATAATTGATTATCAGCATCAGTTCTCACAAGAAAATGATGCCAAAAGAAAATACTTTAACACTCAATTAGCAAATGACACATTAGCATCCAGCCTTGAGGGCAAAATGAATGTATTGGGAAGTGCACTGCTTTTCACCCAGATAATGACATAGTTAGTCTCAGATGCTTTGCTGTAGCTGCCTACCTTCACTGTCTGGATGTGGCTGGGTTTGCAGTCCTGATAAAAGTATTGATTTACCTCCAAACTGAACAGCATGTCCAGTCAAGTCGGCCACTTTGCTGGGAACGACCTGGTTAATGTAGTTAATGTGTTCACAGTTTTCTGATAGACCAGAAGATCTGTACATTTTTAAGTGCGGGTGTGATCATATGATCACATCTTTAGGCTGTAAGAAGCAGCAGAATATTAAAATCCACAGCACTGCAAATGAATATGAAACTCACATGGCTCTCACTGCTGACGGGGAGTGGATTCCAGGCCCCTGAGAGATCAAACTAAACTTGGTTTCCCAGTTAGCCAAAAATCTTACCTTCCCTCTGACAAAATGTCACCCTAAGGCCGCCATTTGGGTCGGCACTTTCAGTCTGAAGAAATATGGGTTCCACAAGTATTGGCTTTGCCGAGCGTGGGTGTTGTGCCTTGTGCTTGTTACTATAGAAAAGACTGGAAGATATGATAGAGCATGGTTGAAAAATGCCTTTTTCCTCTCCCTCCAAGCAGCCTGTGTATATGAGCTGGTGTTTTGTTTTCCAGGACTGCTCCAACTCTGAGGAGTTTACGGTTGCCGCTGATCTCCTGCCATTACTGACGGCCTTCTACCGGGTGAGTCACGCTGCCACATTGATGCTTCTCGAACGGAAACCAGGAGAGCTTGGACTGACAAGCTCGGCTTCTCTTATTGGCCAGTTTTGTTGAGGACATTCCTTTTTGAACTACAATAGCGTTTTATTAGCTGCTGCCCCAGGGCCTGATACATGCCAAAAGATTTAACTGAAGCTCCTTTGCAGCTTGCCCCCCATTTCAGACAGCTTTTGAGAGGGCAACTTAAATATTGACATGAGCAACTGGGGCGCAGCTTAACTTAGCCTGTGTCCTAGTTTAACTCCCTACAAGAGGAGGAACGGTTCTTAAATATAGCCGAAACGGACGCAAGCCCAGCCGTGATGGTCACTCTCCATCGCAGTGATGTGCACCACAAGTATGAGTGCTCGGTTGCCATAGGGACAGACACAACGTTCTTCTATTACTTCCAGCTGGATACAAACCTGAACAAGCTGGTCCATTTGCTTTGAGGCTCTCCATAGACGGATTGTCCTGTGGACTAAATGCTGCCAAGAGATTTTCTTATGGATACCTGCCCACCAAAATAATAGATGGTCTCGCTTTACTTCTTGGGGAGGTTTTATTCTCTGAGTCTTGCACCTGAAGTTTGATTCTTTTGCCACCATTGCCAGCCTGCTGTCATAAACAATGAAAGCACATCTACACAGGCCTAAGTGCTCATTTGACTGATTATTTATTTGAATGTTACCTAAGTGATTCTAACAAAATGTAAATGGTTTGCAGCTGGGCTGTGTTTCCTGCGGATTTCTTCTTCTGTCAGTTGCGTTTTGTTCTTACTACTAAATAAATGAATGAGTTGACAGTTGTGTCGACACTTCTGCGATTTTTATGGTGGGGTATCTGCTGGAGCCGCTGAGGCTGAGCAGTGTGTTCGAGATCCAGCAGCAGCTTCCTCTTGAGACGTGAACCTGACGTGAACCTGTACCCTCTCAGTTTGTTTTCTATTACGTTTTCCTTGGCTAATAGTTGCCCGCTTTGTGCCTGATTTCCAGCTAACTACAAATATTTTAATGCTCCAAACACTTAAATCTGTCTTGAGACAGCGAAAGTCCAACAGGGCGTATTCTTAGTTCTGTTTTGAAAATATAACAGGCAATCAAACATGGTAATTTTAAGCTTTTTTTTACAGAAACAAAATCCACAGTTTTGCCTGACATAATCTATAAACAAGGAATTCCTGTCAAAATTCACATGGGATCTTAAATGAAGAAAGAACTGGGTGTCAGATTTTCATGGCGACGCAAAATGACTTATGATGCCATTCTTATATGTGGTTTTCTAGTTTTTTCTTTGTATCAATCAGTGAAAGGCAGAAGTATTTATACTGGTGCAAAATGAATGCCAGTAACGTTAACGTTCAACATAACATAGATTGCTGACTGATATCTTCAGCTAGAAGAAAAATTGTCTTCCAAGACATTTTTCAGGTCATTCAAGGATTCACACTATACAGCCAGTTTGGCTGGACAGCCTGAGAAATGCTGTCGCTGACGTTGACCGTATAGCGTAATTGTAAACATAACGGATAGTATTGCTACATATATTTGAAGATTATGATTTTTGTCGGATCTGGAATTGTTTCTGTCATGAAGTCTCTTTTTCAGCCTAATTTGCCATTACGGTGTTGTGGCTTTCAGGGAATCCTGCAGAGCCTGACTCAGTGATGTCGAACGTCTTTTATCTTCAGTGTGGGAAACATGATAATGGAGATTTCCATTGACAGATGCGGCTTCACCGCACTGTGAATAAGGGTGAAGGTCAGACCACATGGGCTGCTTGAAAGAGGGAAAGACACTCGAGAAAATGTTCCTTTCCTGTCTGAGAAGCCCCCCTCCCCCCCGTATTAACATGTCAGCTCTGCTTGCTCGCTAATTATACCGCCCCTCAGATCACCCTTTAGCATTATCTAGGGGTGGGAATGTGGGATGTAGGTGACAGGGTTTCTGTCACTGTCAGAGTGGGCAGACAGCAGAGCCTGCCGCTGTCACATCTCCCGGGGACAGGTGGCTTTGCACAGTGCACATACCCATGATGCACAGGGCGCTGTGTCATCAGGCACCGTCTTGTGATCATGACTCGGGGCGATTTGAAAGTGCGAATCCCCATCAGGTGCTGTCCCCCCCCCCACCCCCCCACCTCCCAATTCACCTTCTGAAGCAAGAAGTCACAAGACCAGTGCAGCTGGGACTGTGCATTTCTTCCCCCCCAGCTCCCATGGCCAATTTAAGAACCAGAGAAAGGGCAAACAGCCATACCCTTACATAGTGTTAGGCTCCATCAATAAGCACGTATTGGCCACAGCGAGCCCCGACCTTTCCTGTAGAGCTGGCTCGCTGCCGCTCTCGGCTTAGCCTGGACCCCCTCCAGAGGCTCACATGTAGCCCTGAGAACCAGGTGCCTCTGTGGTCAAGGCCTCCAGACCACATGCAGCCGCCGTCGCTGCCTGAGAAAGAGGAGAATGCTGCGTGGCTTTGGCTAACGTCACAGCTGGCCTCTGTGTGAACTTTGTGCTCTTCTGCCAACGTGCAGACCCAGGCGCTTCTGCAGCATCCATGTAGCTTCTGTTTTTCTTCTGCTAACTGAAGTGTTTCTCCCAGCCACTTACACGCATTCAGTCTCCTTTCGGACACCAGGACTCAGGTTACTGAACAGTTACAGCTTGTTAATGAGACTGGCGGTAAATGCCAGGTTGAAACAACTGAAGGATAATGAAGTGAAAGTTCTGGACAGGCTGATTTTTAAAGTGCCATCAGTCAGCAAAACATCACAAGCTGTCAGATATTTGTCATTAGTATCTGTGAGTCAATGCAAAGGCTTCCTTTGAGCCTGCTTGCTGCCCTCAAGAGACAAGATGCATGGCATGTAACAGGATCGCCATTGTAAGCCAAAGCGTGATGTTGCGGCAGAGTTCATGGACAGTAAATTAGATCAGGCCAGTCTTCAAATTTGTGGTGCTTGCTATGTAGCTGCCCAATTTTGGTGAAGATGTGTCTTTAAAGAAGCTGTTCCAGCATTACGCGGAATCGTAAAGGACTGACTCAAGTTCTGTTTGCCCTGAAGTGCTCAAATCACATGCAGTACCGTGCAAAAGTTTTAGTTAACGAAAAATATGTTTGAATTAACTTGATGTTCGTTAGAAATTATGATTTTGCAGTAAATATGCAATATACCCATTAACTTGATTTGAACACTAGCACACCTCATTTAGCTAATCAATACCTTATCAAGTTATTTAGTTTATTTACTTTAGTGAGCTGGTGGTGAAATTTAACACAAACATGAAATGGCTGGGATGCTGCTACAGAGAGGTTTGGGAACTGGAGCAGTGTTCTAGCCATCCAGCAAGGTACCAGTAACTTCTTGGAGCATATAAGTGTTGTATTGTGTTGCTATTCATTAGCATAAATTCTAATGTTAAGTTGTGGGATTTTTTTGAGCATATACTCATGCACACACATACACACACACACACACACACACAAACACACACACTACCCAAAGAAATAGCTTAAAACATTTTGACCGACTAAGACTTTTGTTGTATATGCAGGTTCAAAACTAGCATCAGAAGAGAACACAATTGATCGTTTTTCTTTTTCTGACTGCTTTTAGCGAAATAACCAAGTGCCAAACTCAAGGAGCTGAATTTAACAGTGGCATTAAGATTACAGGACAGATGCGTGAATGGTGTTTATTTCTTGTCTTTGAAATATGGGGAGCATTTAAATTAGGAAGGCCTTTTCTTGTTGTGGTGTCTTATTTTAAAATGCATTTGTTGGATCACAGTCGCTTTTAAGGAGGTCAGCACTTAATTTGTCTTGTCAGTTTACTTAAGTAGCAGAACATTTATCATTGCAGAAGATCCTGCATTTTGATGGTACTAAGCGTACTTGATGTTTTTCCAGTGGAGCTTATCCTCGTGTTTTTGTTTGCGTTGCTTGTTTGACATTTGTAATGTATTCATTCACATATTTTCATTTATAAATATGTAGTCTGGGTTAAGATGTTTTTGCCCTGAATTGCACAGGCTCTGGCTCAGTGCTGCAGTGCTGCAGTGCTTCCTTGCAAATGTTACCCTTTCTGCAGCTAAATATCTGACGTATCATATTTGTTTTTTCCCCATTTTTGTCCACTGCTGACTTTCAGAAATCTCCATTAATATTGATATCTATATTATATTTGTATAAATAAAGCAGCGAGTTGCCTTTTTAGTGAATTACTCTAGTGCCGCTTCTGAATACGGCTGCACACTCACACGTGTCCCAGTACTTAGCCATTATTCTATTCTGTTTCTGGCTGCCTGTGGTATTTCAACTTGTTTTTCATATGCAGGTCAGATATTTGTGACAGTTCCTGGAAATCTTAGTATCGTTCTCATTGATGGTCTTTGTCTTTTTCTATTCCTTTCTACCTAATTCTTTATCAGCTTGACGGGTGAGATTGTGGAGGGGGGGGGTATACTGTTTAGTGTCTCTTTCTTTCTCTAGGGAAGCTTTTATTTTGACATTTTAATGACATAGGAACTTTTATATAAATTCATTGTAGCATTTGTCGGAAGTCTTAGAGCTATGCTTGGAATTCTGGGAAAAGCCTTGGATTGGTTCCCACAATTGGTTCATTGGGGTGACAGTGTGTTCTTTCTGACCCACGTTATCGTAGTGCTCTTGTCCACAAAGCCTGGCCCTGAGGCGCGCTGATGAATGCCTGCTATGGGAAGAGCCCGCCTCTCTGCCAGCTGTTCTGCTATTTGCACTACAGCCTAGATACCTCCATCTACTGAAATTGAGTCACGACGGGCCATATGCTCGCAGTGCGATTTTACACACTTGACATACTGATCCCCAGTGTGTGAGAGAGCAGCATGTAGCAGGACTGTCTGACCAGCCCTGTTTGTCGGCATAATCACTAATCAGCTCTGATAACTTCGTCACAATGGCTCGAGTGGATCTACTCTGCGTTACTGTTCTGGTGGATGGTGCAGAGAGGGAATCTCAGTCCTGCTGTTTCAGCCTGATTTTTATACATTTTTAAATTAATTTATTACTGGCCATGTATCTCTTATTTTATTAATGTGGTCCAGACAAAGTAATCCATCCTTGATCCTCTAAGTCAGTTCCCTACATCTGGATATAGCCGGCTGCCCCCTAATCTCGCACGAGGACCGTGTGAGATTAGGCTTTTGGCTTCTTGCTGCCCTCCTCTGTACCTTTGCATAAGGGCGCGCTGGTGGCAGGGGGATGAAACATCCTCCATGTAAGCTGCGTGTCTTGAGCCCTGTTTCCCCATATAAAAAGGGTACAAGAGCTCTGTGTCTCGGTCCCACCGATCATGCAGACTTTTGCTGGAGTTTAAGCTTAGTTAGTCGCAAAGGCTTAAAGGTTAATAGGAGCAAACATGACAGAGTTCCAGGGGGTCTCTGAATCCTAATTGTTCTTGTTGCGATTTCTCACTTCTTTAGATGAACTCATTAATCTCAATAGCGTTTTAAGCTTCGTTTTTCCTGAAAGAACAGTAGCATTTTGCCTAAAAATGTGTTCCTGACTGCGCTGGTTCTCCCCTTTCACCTTCTGCCCTTAATTTACCCAGACCTGTGGCTTTGTGCGTCTAAATTTATTAATAAGTTAATTTAGTTAATTTCACTGGTGTCTTTTCATTGGATATCCAGTTACCTTGATAGAGCCCATTAGTGTGCAACACGAGCAGGAAAAGCAAGGCTTACAGTAAGACTGAAGGATAAATTCAAAAATTTGCATTAATAGCAATTATTCCATATTAATGGAATGTTGCTGATATGGACATTTTTAGGTAATAGAAATATTGAAAAGGAATATAGATTGAACTTAATTTGAACTTAAAATAAGTAAAATGCCATGCAAATAAGTAACATCCCGTCTTACAATCTTATCACAAATCATATATTCAATTGTGAAATGTGCCTCTGTGACCCCAGCATAGAAAAGAGGATTAATAGTGTATCTATGTTCTCAGGCAGTGTTTCCCAGTCTGGTCCTTGGGGACCCACAGACGGTCCATGTTTTTGCTCCCTCCCAGCTCCCTAGCAGACAGTCCACATTTTTGCTTCCTCCCAGGTAAAATGTGGATTGTCTGTGGGTCCTCAAGTACCGAACTTGGAAAACACTGCTTTAAGGAAAGACTGCACACATGACAGGGTGGTGAGGCAGTGTGCTACTGCCCCCTAATGGAGAAGAAATGCTTCACGCTCCAGTCACCTAGGGTCTTGGTATAGTACTGCTGCACACCATGGCCCATTAGGCCAGTGTTTCCCAACACAGTTCTTGGGGAACCCCGGACAGTCCACGTCTATTCTTCCTCTCAGCTGGCAGTGCACCTGTACCAGGTAGGTAATCAGTGTTCCCACCCCCCTTTCGGGCAGTGAAGCTTGGCTATCGTGCCACATGGGCAGTGGCCCCCCCACTCTCCCTATCTCAGACTCATTTTAGCCTCTGTCTCTGGCAGAAAGGGCAGGACAGCTATGCTGAAGTTTCCAGCTTAGAAGAAAGAAATTTAGTTTGAAACCATCAGGTTTGGATCCCAGAACGAGAAGTACGGCTTGGCCAGATTTCATAAATCCGCTGGTGCTCAGTTAGCGCTGACGCACCATATCCTGTGTTTGCAGAAACTGGCACCTGGAGTCAATCAGTTTGCCTACACATGTGTACAAGACCATTCGATATGGGCAAATCAGCAATTCTGGGAGGCGACGTTCTACAGCGAGGTCCAGAAGCAGATCCGAGCCTTTTATCTCTCTGTCCCGTCAGAGAAAACAGGACTTATAATCAAGCCGGAGGTAAAATGTCAAGATTGTCTTTATAAACTAGTTCAGAGCTAGTGTTCGCTATCTGGTATCAGTAAATGAATACAGAAATGATTTTTACATGATATGGGTTCCATTCATCTTCCTGAGCATTAAGATGTTGCTGTTGCCTGACTTGTTAGTTGCTTTGGTTAAAAGCATTTGCCACAGCTGTATAAGTCTGATGGCATACTCCGTGCCCCCCACCCCCGTGGCACAGGAGCGGGGCCTCCCCTCCCCAGCTGGCACCGAGCGTACGGCCATGGACCTGGCAGCAGAGCAGCTGTGCTCCTGGCCCAGCCTCAGCAAGGAGAAGCAGCGGGAGCTGGTGCAGAGTGAGGAGAGCACGGTGTTCAGCCAGGCCATCCACTATGGCAGCCTCATGGTCTACCTGCTGGTGCCGCTGGACGTCAGCAAGAACAAGCTGCTGCGGGGCCCACCTGCCGCCGACTGGGAGACCGCCAGCAACAGCGTCATCACCACCAACAGGCAGGTGGCCCCTGCCGTCCGGCTGGGTAAACCCCTCCAATGAGCATGATGTGTGTAACCACTGTGGCCAGGGGGCCACAGCTACAAGAAAATCTGGTCATTCTTTACTTAAAGCAGTCATATAAATGCATTACACAAACCCTCATAATGCATCATAGTGCATTCATAAAGTATTATAAACACCATATTTATAAAATATTTATAAAAAGGCATGCCACATTATAGGCATGTTTATTATGTATTATAAATGCTCTGTGAAGCTCTCTATAATGCACTGTAAATACCTTCATAATACAGTACAAACCTTAATTCTTATACTGACCGTTATAATGCATTATAAAGGTATCTGTAGTGCATTATAGATGAATGCTTCACAGAGCATTCATAATGCATAATACACATGGCTATAATGCGGTATGCCTTTGATAAATATTTGTAGCTGTGTTTATAATACTTTATGAATGCATTATAAGTTATCTATAATGCATTTATATTACTGCTTTAAATAAATAAATAAATAAATGGTGCTTTTACTAAATCCTGGACATGGGGGCTGTGACTAGAGTCAGTCAGTTATTTATCCAAAGCAACATGCAAGTGAGAGCAGGGTCAGTCATTCCCTGGACCAGCTGGGGTTAAGTGTCTTGCTCTAGGGCCCAATGGTGAAATCACTCTACCAAGCCTGGGATTTGAACCTGTGACCTTCTGAGCACAGGCGCTGTGTCCTAACTTGCTAAGCCACACTGCCCCCCCCCCTTTTTTGTTGTTACAGACTCAAAGGAATCTCCAGCTTGTACCATCGTTTTATATTTTCTTTACTAGCTTCTTCCATGCATCCTCAGTCCTGTACCCTTCATAGATGATTCTTTCCTGTTGACAATTTTGTTGATTGAAGTTGCACAGGACAGTAAGGGGACTTTTCTCATTATAGCAAAAGAAAGAAAACACAAGTGAAACTGACTCACCAAGCTCCACAACAACAGTGTGTGGGAGTTGGGAGAATTTCCCTTAGACTTTATTCCCAGAAAGTAAAGCTATCCTGCCAAACGCATTTCCCCTCGATCTGCTCAACAGTAGCGCTTTTTACTTTCACTTTTCACAACTCTGCTTTATTGCGAGAATGAGCATTTATTTAAGCACTTCAGTTATTTTTCTAACTGAATGGTTTCCTAGTAAATTAAAGTGGACTGTTAAGTCACTGTTTGAGCCACAGAGCTCTGTAACCCAGATCCCTGGAAGATGGCTTTGGACCTCGAGACTAGAGTCTATACCACTGGTGGAGTCAGGAGGGGAAATGCCCCCCGCCCCCCTGATGCCCCTGAGACTGAAGAAACAATACTAAATTGCCCTTCTAAGTGGTAAAAATGTCACTATTGGCAGCCCTTCACATGGTTTAGCCTCCTTCATGTGAAATATGCCCTGTAGAGTAAGAAAATGTGATGCAGTGTCTTAATGAGTGGCCTTCTATTGAAAAGAATGTGATGCAGTGCCCTATAAGGTGCTCTTACAATGGTCTAAGTGGCCCCTATAGGTACCCATCCAGTGGAAAAGGGTGCCATTATGAAGTGCCCTTCTAGCGGGCACATGTCATGCAGTAGATGGCATTTTTATTTTCGCACCCCTGCCCTTCAAACAGTCCACCACTGGTCTATACCCCAAGTACACAGTCCTGTGCATTTTCAGCATCACCGTAGACCACGTGGCTTACTTTGTAACGTATGTGTGTTCACGTGTGTTGGTAACAGCATTGCAGGAAGTGTGGCAGAGAGCTTTGACGCGGAGAGCGGCTTTGAGGACTCCGAGAATAACGATATCGCCAACTCGGCCGTGCGGTTCATCTCGCGCTTCATTGATAAGGTGTGCACAGAGAGCGGAGTCACCCAGGACCACATCAAGAACCTCCACAGCATGATCCCAGGTAGGTGAAGAAACTGGACGGTGGCGGCAAAGTAGCCGCTGTGCAAATTGATGTGGCGTTAAGGCTGTGGTGGGAAGTGAGTGAGTGTCACGAGGAGCATAATGTTTCCTAAGTGAAAGAAGTGAAAAATGTTTTAGATCGGGTCCCTTTGTTTGGATTTAAAGATGGCCAAGGCTGCCACAGATTGGTATAGATTAGCTTGCCGTTGTCTGTACTGCTAATTCCTAGCAACCCCCAGGTAAAGCCGGCAAACGGAACTTTGGAGTTAAGCACGTTAAGTCCTCATATGTCGTGGCACAGGTATCGTGGCCATGCAGATGGAGACGCTTGAGGCTGTTCATCGTGAGAGCAGAAGGCTTCCCCCCATACAGAAGGCAAGTGTCCATCTTGGAGCTAATTCCCGGGCTGTGAATGTACCATCCACATGGCTGCATTCTCAGCCACGATGGTGCCATGGAAGGCAATACTCCATTTTGTGATGGTTGTGGTGCCCACCATACAGTAAACATATAGAGTGTGGTTTATCTGTCCATCGCGTTATGCTGAGCTACTCAGGGAAGTGTAACTGTAGCGTGGACTGTAGCATGGTCTGTATTGTGGACTGTAACATGCCTGTCTCTTGTCATTTTCCAAAGAAACCGTGTTACTCTGATTTGTTGCAAATGACAGATCAACTGTTATGAACAACTCTGGGTTAATCCAGACTCAGACTCACAATACTGAGTACTGAGTCTGAGTGAGTCCAGTGAGTGATCAGACCAATATTTATAACTAGCAAGGTTAGATCCCACACCTTGAGGAACCTTCCAATTCTTTGGCTGCAGAACATTGAGGACTTACTTAAATGATGTATTTTGAGGTTTAACCTTCTCAGGTTTGATTTGTTTTGTTTAGTTGTTTGTTTGCTTTTTAATGATTATGAACTTTTACAGTCGACCCTTCTGCATCTTGACTTGCCATCACGGTTTTGATAAATCACAGGGTCAGCATAAGAAATTAAATGGAAATTTTTTTGGGAGTTTTGTAAAAGCCACAGATGGCATAAATGCATATCTAGTGTATGTACAGTGCTGGTTTACAGGATGCCAAACGTCCTTACGGCAGCCTCTCATATGATATTCTGCAGTGATCTCACAGTGATCTTATGGCAATCATTTTCTCTCATGTTTCTTGTATCTTTTTGCTGCACTTCGCTCTGCTCGCATGTTTGCTTCGCTCACCAAGTTGACCAAAACTTTTATGTGATTTTTCCAAATCATGGGGTGCCTGAGCTCCTAATCCTCGCATTTTGGAACAGTTGACTGTATAAATAACCTAGGCTTCTTCGTGAATATAGCCCTAGCTGCTTACATGGCGTGAAAACTCTGTTAACTAACTTTAGAAGATTCTGTTTTTTCTGACTTGGTATACAAGTGAGAAGATGAGGGACAATGAGGAGATCACTGGAGCGACTGGCCTTAGGGCCTTGCTCAAGGGCCCAACGGTGACATCACTTTGCCAGAGATCTCTACATCTCAGCAGATGCCAGAAGCATGATCATGATTTGATCTGAATGTTGAGAATCAGAATTTATTATCTTTGTGCTGGAAGACTCCACTGAACCACCCTACCTCCCCGAAAATGGCAAAAATGTGTGAGAGCTAAACTGATGACCCAAGATCCATAAATCATCCCGGAGAGTCCAGCTGCTTTTCTTTTGAAGGCGCTCAAAGAGTTGTATAGGACAGTGACCCCTTCAGCTGGTCCATGCTCTCAACACTGCAATTTCGGCCCAGAACCGGGTCCGTGCCGATGACATTAGCGCATTCCGCTGCCGCAGACACCAGAGCGACTCGTTGACCCCCCGTTGCGCAATGTGGCAGTGGCCTCCCATGGGGTGCTGTGGCGCAGGAGTCCGTCTGCCTCTCAACGTCTTTGCTGCATCCATCACTTTTCAAGAATGCAGCGCTCGTGATAAAAGGCTGAAATCAGCAGAGGATTAGGAGGAAGGGGGGGGGGGGAAGAAGAAGAAGAAGAAAGCCAGCTTGAGAAATGTCCAGAAGGCGTATTTTGTCAGCACCCTTCGCCGAGGAATCAAATGACCGATTCGCACCATCCACGGGACGTGGTGACCATTGAATTCCCTTCCCCTTGTGTTTGTTTGTCCATCCGTTCGTCTCCGGGATGTGCGGAACACATTGTCTTGGCATGTCCACGCTGTGGCAGTCACGTAATTAAGTGGATTCCACTGCATTTCATTGTTATTAAATAATTTTAATTGCTTACATTTCCAACAAGTTTTGCAGGCCATGTGTTTCGGATTGAGGAATTGTTTCAGTTGCTATTCTTACTGACAAAAGAATGCAAACTTGTGTTTGTACCCGAGTGTCATTATAAGGTGCATAATGAGTCTGAATCATTTGTTTACCATGATGTCAGGGTTTATGTACAGGCAGTGCTTCAGTGGAATTGTGGGTAGGATGTAACGCTGCTACAGTGCTCCCGTGACTGGGTTTGGGTTTTTGATAGTTTTCTCATCTTCACTACAGCCCAAGATCCTCAAGCCCCCCTTGCTCCCAGGAGAGAAGTTCATCTCTGAGGGTCTGCGAGTGGTCCTTGACACTGATGGGCGGGAAGAAGCCACAGGGGGGGTTCTTGGTGGCCCACACATCCTTCCTGCAGAGGGGGCGCTCTTCCTTACTACCTACCGTGTCATCTTCAAGGGAACCCCTCTAGACCCTCTGGGTACTTTATCTGCTTGGTTTCAGTTATCCAGCTGTGACAACGGTGAAATGAGACTAGATGTAGATGTTTCATTATATTCGGAATCAGGTTTATTGTCCAAGTAAGCTCACACACAAGTAGAGTTTAGATTCTCTGCCCGAGCCCGAGCCCAGACCCGACCCGACCCGACCCGTGGGCCGGGGCGGGCCGATATTTCCTGCCACTATCTTCGGGCCGGGCCGGGCCGGGC